ATGTGTTTAGAGAACATTTAAGGATGTGAGAATGTTTACAAGATAATACTATGAGAAAGACATAAAATGTCCTAAATTATTTACTTGCATTATATAGGCATTCATTTTATTCAATGCATCTCTCATTGTATTTCTAGTGCATGCATATCATCAAGAATAAAGCAGAGAAAAGAAAAAAAGCAGACGTAGGAATGCCTTCATGGAGCCTGCATTCTAAAAAGAAACAAATATTAAACCATGAATTATATAAGTCACATTAAGCAGGAATGTTTAGTAGTGATTATTGTGTAGTAACCACTATTCCCTGTGCATTAGTCCATATCATCCTCCTAACAGCATTACAAAGGAAATACAGCTATTATCCCTATACAGATGTGAAAACTGAGGCACAAAAATATTAAGTAACTAGTTCATGTCCAACAGCTGGAAAGTGATGATGCTGAGTCATAGCATAGACACAGGCTGTCTAACATTAAAGTGTTGGGGCTAAACGCCTTGGTTCAGCCTTTCTAGTATGGTGAATCCTTACAAAGGGTTGAACTTGCTACTATAACAAGACACATGTGGTGCTTGGAAAATTGAGCAAAAATTTTCTCTGGGAAATAATTGTTGGAATGAGTTTTCAAGGCTGAGTGGGAATGAACTACGTATGCATTAATATGAGCAAGAGAGGGAGGCTGACTTAAAGACAATGTAATGTGCAAAGGGGTTGAAGTGAGAAGCGCGAGAGGAGTTAGAGGAGCAGTGGGAAGTCCACAGTGGCTGTAGAGCAGTCAATGGGGATGTGGGCAGGAAAATCTGGAGTAAATTCCAGGAATATCCCTGGAATAGAACTGGACGCTCTGATTTCATTCTCTATATAATCAACCTCTCCTTTATCAATAGACATCATGATAAGCTACAGTGAGAATCACTTGGGAGAGTCTTACAATTCCTCATCTCAGACCAACTATTTCAGAATCTCTGAAAAGGCACCAGGTTTTAATAGCTCTAAAGGATGCAATCAAGATTGAGAACTAGTTAGATGATTATCAGTTTATAAGATCCAGTGACATCTAAATTAGGAGAAACCTCCAGAACCAAAAATGTGAATAGTATTATCATCATGATTGAGTGTAGTTTTGAATTATGAATACATGTCACTAGAGGAGGTGACATGAAGGAGTATCTGATGGGAACTGATGTGAGCTGCATGATACGCAAAAGAAGTATAGTTCTCAGCTCCAGGTTGGGACAACCAGATGTGGAGTGCTGACCTCAGGTGAGAAAAGAGGAAAGGAGACATGTCCAAGGCTTAGGATGATATGGGCCTTTGATCTAGGGACATCCCTTCCCCACAGTGCCCAGTGTTTACCTTCTGGGCTGAGAGAGAGAGA